ATGGCATATGCCTACAAACATCCAGAGCAAGAAAGACAAAGAAATGAGTTATTACTTTTTTGTGTTAGTAATTACTATACTATACCGTGGCGAGGGTTTAGAAAACTGTGTTCAAACGTGGCGTCATCCAATACACTTATATATTTTTCCGTTTGCTGTGATACCAGTAAAACCAATTTCTGTTTTATATCGCTCCCAATTAAACCCAGTAAATCCAATTCAGACCTATTGATACCAACCAATACTTCAATTGTTTTCTATAAGGAATTATAATTATAATCGGTCATTTACAACAGGGATTACTGTTGTGTTTGCTGGGATTACACCTTGGGAAAATTTTATTTTGCCTTGTTTCCTTTTAAGTAAAATAATTTTGGTTAGAAAGGAATAAAAAAGGCCCCTAAAACATTTTTTTTAGCAAAAGGACAAAAATGCGATTTAGAAGGTTTAATATGCCTAGCAAAAGTTTCCGAATATATTACACTATCTCCCACAACTATAGGATGTAATTGCCCACAACCATGTGATTTAATTACATATTTACCTCAAACAGAAAAACTTGTGACCTGGTAAAATATTTATTTTTTATTTTTAGGGAGCAAAGCTATATTTTTTGGGAACTTTTTAGGGAGCAAGGCTATTTTGATCAAAGAATTTCATTTCGATGGGGTCTCATGCCTCCCACAACCAAATATCATAGGGACATCCTTTTTGGGATAGAAAATCTTATAGGTACGGTCCTGTGATTTTTAGGAAAATTGCTAATTATTTTATTTTAGTGTCTTTTGGTGGAACAATTGGACTATTTCTGGGCATGAGTTTAACTAGCATAATAGAAATTGTATTTCTATTTTTGGAAAGTTGCTACAATTGGTATAAAAATAGACAATTCAAGAAAAATCAGTTTGTCCATTATCAAAACAATTTAATGTATAAATAGTAACTGAGAATATATACTATAAAAATATTTGTTAATCTTAATTTTTATAACAAACATTTATGATAAGATAAGATTAGAGTATGCAACCATGTGAGCATACGTGTCCGACGTGACAATCTTGCTTGTTTTCATGTAATCATTAAACGTCAAAATTTTAGGTTAATTTCAATTCAGGGGGTTTTAAAATGAATTCTTCAGTAAAATCTTTAAAGCCGGGTCTACAATTGTCGCAGAACGCAGATCGCAGAACGTAAGCATGCGCAAAGCACCCAGCGACGTTGCGATGGAGCAAGGTCACACGTCGTTGTTATGTGAGCTGTCTACAATTGTCGCGCGATGTGCTTTTATTGACCAATCAGAGCAATTGTTTTCTTTATAACCACAGTGTGGCCAACGTAGAAGTGTTTCCCCTGAAAAAAAACAGAGATATGGATGGATCCCTATCTCTAAAAAACTGCTTGGGGTTTATTTTTAGGTAAAAAATGTTTAAGAGTTTATATATAATTATATTTGTATATTATATATACAGGGTGTCTCAAAAGTCAAGGACAGCAGAAAAGGGGTAAATAGAGAATGGGATTCTAAGTCGAATGGAATTTGCCGTTTTTCGATCAGACGCACCATTAATTAGTTATTAATAAAATAAAGTAGCCAATCACAGGCGTGTTTTAGCAGACTGATTAGAGGTGGGACAACACAAACTTTTGTAAAAATTCCATAGCTATGAACATGTCATATGTGAAATGACCTTAAATTAATTTATTTACTGTCACTGTCAGTGTTTTGGTTTTTTAGGTTCAGTAGAAATGTTTATTTTTTTGTGTGGGACAAATAGGTACCTACCTATCTTTTTGTTATTTTTTTTAACTTGCGAATTATTAAATAAGTAAATAAAAGATTGATGGTGATATACTTTACTTTACTATTACTTTTTATTAAGTAAAAATAATTACTTTATTAATAATTAATTTTTACATTATTATTTAATTAGAGATATTTTTATCCCTGATGAATATGACATACATTGTAATGTCATTTTTGTTAAAAAAACTTTAACAACTTTTTGAAATACCTCGCGCTTATACTGTTGCCGAACGTGCAGACATGGTCCGTATTTATCACGAATATGCTCACAATGCTGCGGAAGCTGCACGCCAGTATCGAATACAATTTGAAGGTGTGCGTGTTCGGTTTCCGAATCATGCTTCAATTCTCCGAGCGGTTCAGGATTTTAATATGAATGGCAACGTTTTACCGGGTGCTGCTGAACGCGTTGGCCGACCACGAACAGCTCGCAGCCTTCATAATGAAGAACGCGTTCTTGAGGCCATTGCAGCTGATCCTGGAACTAGCACTCGCCAACTTGAACGTGGAATGGAGATCTCCCGCAGCACAATTAACCGCATAACTAAGGACAACGCACTACATCCTTACCACGCTACCAAGGTACAACATCTGGAACTTGGAGATTACGAGATGAGAAGACAGTTTTGCAATCAAATTCTCAATATGCACCGTGAAGACCCTAACTTTCTGAGGCATGTATTGTGGACTGACGAATCACCCTTCACTCGTGAGGGGTGTTTTAATCTCCATAATGTGCATCAGTATGCGATTGAAAACCCACATTTTGAAAGGGTGCAAAGTTTCCAGCACAGGTGGACAATTAATATGTGGGGCGGTATTATCGGAGATACCGTTATTTTATATCAATTACCAGAAACGCTAAACGTAAGTTAAAAAAATGATCAATTTATATTTTCATGAGTTGATCATACAATTTTTTGATTATTTATTAGGGAAACTCGTACTTGGCATTTTTGCAAGAGGTTCTTCCAGGGTTGCTCGAAGAAGTTGGAGAGCGTCCTCAGTACTTCCAGCATGATGGTGCACCGGCTCATTACTTCGGTCGTGTCCGGGATCACCTAAATGCTGAGTACCCACGACGCTGGTTTGGGAGAAACGGCCCGTTTCGTTGGCCCCCAAGATCACCGGACTTAACACCTCTGGATTTTTTCTTGTGGGGATACATGAAGGACGTCGTTTACAAAACCGTGCCCGAGGATCAGCTTGACACTCTGGAGCGGATTCGATTATCGCAAGCAGACATAACACCAGAAATGCTGGAGAACGTCAGAACGAATATCATTAAACGTTGTGAAATGTGCTTGCAGAGAAATGGAGGAACCTTTGAGCATCTCATGAGATAAAGGACCGAAGACTATTTAAAAAACGGCCCTTCTTAGGGCCACCAAGTTTCCCTAAAAAAAAGAATGCCTTTAGTTACCCAGAGAGCCATACCCACATAACACAAAAATATATTGAAAATATTGAATGAATATTTTTGCTAAATGAACTAAATATTGAAGAAATATTAGTCATTATTATTTAAATGCTAAAAATACAAGAAAATTTAGTACACGTCTTAATAAAAAATATTTATAAAAAAAATTATTTTAGAAATAATCGATATAAATAAAAGTAAAATATTTAAACACAAAAATTATTTGAAAAAAAAGTTTATTTAAGAAATAATCGATATAAATAAAAGTAAAATATGTATACAAAAATTAATTGAAAAAAATCACGGAAATAAAAGACATTTTTTTTTCCTACAGTCTTGGGTTTTCTGCTAATCATCATCATCTCTTACTTACTTTGTTTTCTATTATGAATTGCTGCCTAAAGATTCTCTGTTGAAATTCTACTTTTGAAATTCATTGAACAATCATATTTTACCTTCTTGCTTAGCATCAAGTTTATCCAGCATCTGAAGTACTAAAATTCAGATGTATTACAGTGAATGGCTTGCACGATTTTTGTTTTAGATACCCCAACACCTGCACGTCCAGTGCGCGTTATTTTAGAACACACTTCATCTGAAGGCTGCATAGAAATAATACTAGTATTATTTCTATGAAAGGCTGCTTTAACAATTAAATTCAACCTGCCTACGACGTCCTCGTCAGCGACAAATTTAAAGTAGCTAACATATAACATAACAATAAAAAACATTAATGTTAATGAGTAAAAGTAAAGTAAAACCTTGGTTCTCTGGGTAAAACTAACCTAAAATCTAAAACACTGACAGTGACAGTGACAATGTCAAGCATATAATTAAGGTAATTATACACAACGATTTTATACAGAATTTCTAAGATTACGCTGCACATTATAGTCCTCCCACCTCTAATCAGTCTGCTAAAACACGCCTGTGATTGGCTACTTTATTTTATTAATAACTAATTAATGGTGCGTCTGATCGAAAAACGGCAAATTCCATTCGACTTAGAATCCCATTCTCTATTTACACCTTTTCTGCTGTCCTTGACTTTTGAGACACCCTGTATATAATATAAATGAAAAAATGCAAATTTTTAGGGAATAAAAAGTAAAGTGTTGGTGACACTGGGTTGAGTATTTCACACCAACCTTTATAATCTGTGTTTACCTGATAAAATAAATTAATTTTAAAACAAAAATTACCTTGATTATCATAATACTTTTGGTAAACAAATATTTCCAATATTGGATTGGAAAAATTGTTAAGATTATCATAGAATTAGTTAATATTATTTAAAATTTTAAATAATTATATATTATTTATTTGATTTGATTATAAAATTTGAAAATTCTAAATGATTTTCGATATTTCCTAAAAACAACCTATTTAAATCAATATAGGTATGAATATTCAATAGTAATAAGAATATACATACCTACATTTATTTAAATGGTCTTTAGAAAATATTGAAAATTATTTTAAATTTGGACAATTACGTTTTTCGAATAATTTCTGAGAATTACACCAAAAATTTAAAAATAACCGCGAAATAGGAAAAGGAACAAAATAAAAGTATTGATTATTGAAAGAAAGAGAGCACAGAGACAGATAGATTCTGGCGCTCTATGATTGGCTAACATAAAAGCCTGCGAAAGACGTTATTGAAGATGAATTAACTTTCTGCGACGTGTGACCTTGCTCCATCGCAACGTCGCTGGGTGCTTTGCGCATGCTTACGTTCTGCGATCTGCGTTCTGCGACAATTGTAGACCCGGCTTAATAGAAAGTTGTGTTACGTTTACTTTTGTGCTTTATGGCACTTGGTTTTTAATTACAGAGATATTTTGCAGCGCTTTACCTTTCGGCATTTTGTTTACAATTGCCCTTATTGCTGCAGTACATTTTTTAAGGGTTCCTGCACCTGATCCAAGTATTGTAGAGGCGATTGTTGGAAAAGAGTTGGACTTAGAAGGCGATGGGTATCAAATGAAAACAGTGGCTCACAGAGGGGCTGGTTTAGATGCTCCCGAAAACAGTTTAGCTGCCTTCAAAATGGTTTGTTTTTGTTTGAAATTAATTACAATTTAACTATTCTCGCTTTAGTGCAATGATAATGGCTGTGATGCAATCGAATTTGACGTAAGTTTAACAAGCGATGGGGTACCCATAGTGTTTCATGATAACACAGTTGAAAGAATGTCAGACTCAAATAAAGAAATTAGTAAAACTCAATGGGTGGATTTGGCCAAGTTGGATATTTCTGTGAAGCATCCTTACAAGTAAGTGGGGTGGTTTATTTATAATTAAATTGCTTTATACATCCCCTTTTTTGGCAGGGATCGCTATCCTAACACTAATATACCAACGCTTCAGCAAACTGTAGAGCAGCTGCTATCATCTGGACAAAAAATGTTTATCGACATTAAAGATAATAATACCAAGGTAATGTCTTTAATGTTATTGATGATAAATCCTATTGATTCTGATTGAATGTAGAGTAATTTAATGGTCCATACTGGCCACAAAAATGTTTCGTTCATTTATTAAAAATGTGTCAAAATTGGAGTGTATTGAAATTTTTACCTTTTTTAAATTATATATTTCTTAAAATAATGTGGCACTTAATAAGCAATTTTTTTTGTATGTTTTTGCAAAAAGGTTTAACATACCTATTTTTAAAATTTTCCTATATGTTGGTTTTGGAAGAAAAAATGTTTTTTTCTCAGGAGGCATTGAAAAATAAAATGTTATTGATGATAAATCTTATTGAATGCTTAACATGTAGAGTAATTTGATGGTCATTACTGGCCACTACACTTTTTAGGAAAAATTCATTAAAAATGTGACAAAATTGGAGTGTATTGAATTGTTTACCATTTTTTAAAATTATATATTCCTTAAAATATTGTGACAATCTTAATAAGCAATGTTTTTCTTATGTTTTTTAATTTAAATTTTGATAAATAACGTACATATGGTGGTTTTGGAAGAAAATAGGTTTTTTCTCAGAAGGCTTTGGAAAACAAAATGTATTAGCAAAAAAAATAATAACAGATATTTACACATTTTATAACCTCCCATGTAAAACTCCATTTTGTTTTTTATGATGCCTATAGGCAAAAAACTATTCAATTTAAAAATAAAAAACAATTAAGTTAAAGTTTATTAAAGGAAAATAATTTAACTCAGGCTATTCTTACAAAACAGTCATACTTTAAATTGTTAGTGACATACACTTATAATTTCAATTAATATTTTGAGGCAGTAATCGTTAATTTAGAAATATAATGTATATGACATTGAAAATAGATATTTTTATGACAAATCATAAGGTTTAAACTGCACAAATCTATCTATAAGTTTTAAAAATATGATTTTTTTAAATAAAAAATAATCAAGACATTTTTAGACTATGGCTGTTAAAATTAACAAAAATTCTTTTATGATCCTTTTTTTTAAATTTTTTTAATAAACTATAAAATTGTTATATAGCAATTCCAAAATTTTTCTTGTTTTTATTTCATCAAATGCTGATAAATTTTTGTGGTATTCTTTATGTTATTTGGTACACACTGTGTATAAATTTTGACCTAAAATGGTTATACTAGCCCAGTATATATATATATATATATATATATATATATATAAAGGGTGTTTCACTTTAAATGGAAGCACCCCTGTATTTTCTTTATTTTTGTATGAATTGATTTGAATTTTTTATCAGATGTGCAGGTCACCAAGAGGCATCTATTCATTTCCTTAAGCGCAAAATACCTTATCAGCCTGGCCTACTACGATCAAAATCATGGGTCACATTGTCAATATTTTGCTTCGCGTTAGAGTTATAGCAAAAAGTTATTAAGAAAAGTTGTTAAGAATCAAAAGAACACCCCAGATACCAACTTTCGTTTAAAAATTCGTATTTTAATTTCTCAACTTTTAATTTGTCAATATTTTGCTTTGCGTTAAGGTTAGGGCAAAAATTTATTAGGAATAGATTATCTCAGATACCTATTTTTATTTAAAAATTTGAAATAATTTTTATCCAAACGTATTTTGCGCTTAAGGAAATGAATAGATGTGTCAAAAATAAAGAAAATATAGGGGTGCTTCCATGTAAAGTGAAACACAATGTATAGGTAATATCATGTAAAAAAATGTTAATAATATCTAATTTCAAACGCAGTATATAAAAATATTAAGATTTTCAAAACACAAACAAAATTTATTTTTAGATGGTAAAAATAATTCACGATTTATTTGCTCAACACAACGAATTGTACTCAAAGGCTGTGGTGTCATCATTTTTCCCAAACATTGTATATCTGGTATAAATCATGCAAAAATAAACAAAACCTAAACTAAATAATTATTTTTTAAGATAAGAAAAGGTGACCCCAAAATCGTATGTTCCATGGCATGGAGACCAAATGTTTTTGCTAATGAATATTTTAAATACCCTGAAGGTCCTGGACCCAGGAGATATTCCATTTGGTACAAACACTACACTGCTTATCTCTTAGACATTCTACTTGAGTGGGCTTTTCCCAGGGTATTGTTTTACCTTTTAGGCCTTTCAATTGTTTTATTGCACAAGGATCACATTAGTCCGTGAGTATTCGTTTGTTTTATGCGCAGTACTTGCTGCGCAATTTTTAATGCTGACCAACTAACAAATCATTTATCACAAATAATATATTTTAGGCAAGTAATATATAAATGGCGAAAAAAGGGTGTTAGGGTGATGGCTTGGACTGTCAACAGTCCCACTGAAAAGCAACATTTGGCGCGCAATTTAAAAATAACATATCTAACTGATACGCTCACTGGTGAAAGTACAACTCATTCATTAAGTTGCTAAAATAGTATTATTTTTAGAATTAAGTTTTAACATTCATATTACTAACCAATCCAACTGAATAATAATTATTTCCAGTATTATGATTATGAAAATTATTTATAATGATAACAATTCTATATCAAGGCAACTATATTTATTGGCTATACTTTTTTTAATAAGGCAACAAAAATGTATTTACCGTATTATTTTGTTTTTTTTTTAATTTTTTAAACGCATTATTTGCGTTGAATGCCATTTTATTACAATATACAATTTATTTTATTAAATTACGCATTTAAGTACATTTTATTTACACTATAATATACCAAAGTTTGTTTTTAAAATTTTATTTTAATTTATTATTATACATATTTTTAATTTATTACCTATTTATTTAAAAATAAAATGATTTACTGTATATTTTGTTTTTTTAATCCACTTTATTTTAGCTCTGTAAATAAAACCATGTACAGTTTATGACCTATAAACGTATATATCATAAACTGTATGATATCACAAACTGTATAAACTACATAAAATAAAAAACAAAAAAACTTCAACAAACTTTAAAAAGCGTTGAGATGTTCATGATGGTAGGAATCAACTGGTAATTAATTTAAAAATTGGAAATAGGGTTTCCAGTTTTTGGGGTTGAGGTCATTAAAACAGATTTAGGAATTTTGGGTACCGATCCCGAAAAATACTAAAAAATAATTAATAACTTACTTACTTAATTAAAGTTTAATTATTAAACATGTATTTATTATTGATATTTTATATTATAACGAAAGATTTTAAATAAAATTGCAAACACAAATTAAACAAATAAAAAAATATAGTATATGTAGTTATACAAGGTGTCCCTGAAATGCCTGTACAAAATGCGATATAACTAAATTTACTTTAAAATAACCAAGATACAGAGTGTCAAAGTTGAAAGTTTGTTTTCGATTTTATTAAATATCTTTGTAAAAAACAAACTTTTTTGCATAAAATTTGATTTTTGGGGGTTTTTTAGGCCGGGAAAAATCAATATCAATATAAAATTAATTTAGGTAGTAGAGGGCGCTGTCTGCGACACTTTGCATAGGTTTAAATAGTCACATCTTTTTTGCGCCTTAGTGTATTTATGTTTTAATAAAAATATTACATTTTTATCTTTTTACGCTAAAAGTGTATCAGACCGCGCCCAATTTAAACTATCAGAATTTTGGTTTAAATTCTGTCAAAAAAGACTGAATTATAACATATTCTCCTAAAACCATGACTCGTTGAAAATTGACTTTTGTATGCTATTTTTTGTATAAATGAAATATTATTAAACACTTTTTTATACCCTAAACTTCTCGTCAAATCGTGGGATCTTTATGATTACCTAGGGTAAACCACATAGTTATTGGACCCTTAAGGAATATTATTAATTTAAAATTTATATATGCCGTTGTTTTAAAGATTTTAGTTTTTTTCTTATAAATATATAAAAAGGATAGTTTGTTTGTTTAAACTGTATTTACGTTTACTTAAAAATAAGAATATTTGAATTTTTATAATAGTTTTATAAAAACATGGAAAAAAGTATAGTAATTGGACATTTTATATAGTAATTGGACACACACATAGTTATTGGACATACAATTTTTATATAAACATAACTTTAGATCAAATAACATAAATTGTTAAATATTTTTTAAAGATAAATTGCTGTTTTAGGTAATTTTTTATTTCGTTTTCGTAAATATCATATAATTCATATATTTCTTTCTCGGATTCCTCATCCCTTTTCTGGATTCTGAAGGTAATTTCTAATTCCTTGGTCTGACTTCTGAAATAGTTTGCTTTCAAATATCATTAAGTGTGGTATCTCTAGTTTGTAAAGCATTTATAATGTTTAGGCCGGAACAGGATGATTTATATATATCTAATATTTTTTCGGGTGGTATGTTAAAAGTATTCCGAATTTATTAATTTTGTTGCCATTGGTTTTTTATGTTCTCTATCATGCACTGTATTTAAATCACTGTTATTCTGCAAGATGTCCTGTGACGAAGAAATCACTATATTACTTACTTTCTAAAAATGAATTAGTCGAAAATGTCATAGCGAAAAAGCAGCCACTAATAATTCTCGTCAACAGCAATTTGTATCCAGGACATTTAGCAGTCAATTCCTATATAGAAATATTATTCGCTGAATCCGAAAATGTCGTCAAAAGTTATAAAAGTAGAACAGTTTTTGAAATATAATCAATTTTATATATAATATGGAATTGACTATATCTCAAAAACTTTTAGGAAAATTCTACATAAGAATTGGCTGATAATTATTATTTAAATGCCTGGGATATGAGTAAGAACAGAAATTTACATTTTTTACCAACCAGTAATTGGACACTGGCCATTTTACTGTTTGTTTTCAGAATTAAAATTAAAACGCATTAAAGAGACAATGTTTAAACCATGAGTTACCACACACTGATCAGTACACTTTTTAGAAATATTTTTTATTGTAATTTAAACACAGCCCTGCTCTTAACAAAAAAACAAAAATCTTACCACCAAAGTAACGTGCGAACTTTTTTGTCCTATATTGGACCCAAAATAAATAGTTATATATTATTACCGACTGAGATACTTATAATTGTATAAAGCGTCATCTATAGTTGCGAATGTTTCAAATTGCGTCATCAAATTCTGAACCAAGCACAGACATTACAATTATTGTTGTTTTCTTTTACGTATATAATCCAAGGAACCGCTACGTTAACCGTATGTCGAGAAATCGGTTTTTGACATTCGACATTGATGACGTAATTTGAAACATTCGCCGCGACGACTATAATGATTTGACTTTAAGGTAACTATTTATAGAACTCTTGTTTTTACAGTATTAATTGTCCAATAACTATAAAGTGTCCGATAACTGTCTACTTTTTTTTAATTTTTTTAATTTCCATGAATTGTAATTTTAAGACTGTACATCGTTTAACTAACAATTCGAATTAAAAAAGTCAAAATAGGAAAATATATTTATTATTCCTTAAAATAATTTAAAGTTTTTTCGATGCCTTACTGTGCTCTTTTTGTTCAGTTAGGGCCCTTGACTCATGAACAAATACTACAAAGTTGATACCCTAAAACAATATATGTAATTACAATAAATAACACAAAAATTTACACTTACATATTGTTTGGCAGTTCTAACAAATCCATCATTGGCAGTTACTGTAACAGCCTGTATTCTATCGCCAAAAGTAAAAATTACAAGAGATCTTTCCTTGATTTTACCACCAACTGTCAAAGACTTGCTACCAGGCAGCTGAATCCGACCAAAAATCTCGTTGTACTGATCAGTTTCGCTGGTATCAGTTGCAGTTGCATCATCAGGTAACACAATAACCCTTTCGAGTAACTCTTCTGCTCTTTTTTTCTCGTTTGGCCCACCCACAGTGTTCACTATGTTTATAAAGTTCGATTGTGCTGTTTTGCAACAATACAATTTTTTGCCTTGAAAAAAGTTATCCAAGGTGGGCTTTTGCGGTCTTAATCTCTCCCAGGCAGCTTGCTGACTCAGTACAGGGATTGAAAATTCATACACGTGGGCACTGCCGTTTGTAACTGAACTGCAATAGGCCAACATAGCGGACACGTCCAAATTTACTTTTATTATGTGAGAAATATTTTTAGTGGAGAGGTCCGAGTCACAATTCAGGTTGACTGCAGGTTTTTCATTATCCGAGAAGTCATCAGAATCAATGTCATAGTCATATAATCTTTCTCCTCTAACTGTTATTCCAACTGACTCTAATTTTTGGGCTATATTATTTCCTATACCGTTTTCAAAATTGAAAATAATCTACAAACAATATTTATTGTAAAAAGATCTGAGTTTAAAGGATGCAGTAATATTTTAAGGTCTAAAAATGATAAACGGTTTGTTTATCAAAAATTGGGTATAATTGTTTTACATGTTTTCACAAAATTTAAATGTATTCCCTATTGTAAATGACCGATAGAATCCAATAAAAAATAAGTAATTGGTTTGAAATGTGTTTTGGCGCTATGAATGACCAATTCATTCCAGTTGCATTCCTATTGGTAAGTTCCAATGAAGTCAGCAGCTTAAATTGGAATATACCAATCCATGCCTATGCTTGTCTCTATTGGCTAAATCCAAAAGAAATGCACCTGGAATGAATTGGTAATTCATAGCGCCAAACCCATGCAAAGCAATTTGAACCAATTTATTTTTTTAAATTTGGATTAAAAATACCAGTTGATTTTTCATTCTTACTAACACAAAAAAAGTAATAAAAAATAAAAAAATTACTTGGTTATAATCATTTTTTTGTCTTTCTTGCAAAGGATGTTTGTAGGCATGGTCGAAATCAATATTATTTATGTCAATTTTTTTTATTTTGTCCGCTGCAACCACCATTCTCACGCCATCGTCCCTAAACCTTACACATATAAACATTTTTTTAAGGTATAAGTACACACCACTATAAGTACACAACTACCACAAAGCACAGAAACCCATAGATTATAAAAGAAACCGACTAATAAAAAAACGACATTAAATAGCGTGTTTGTTTCTTTATGATGGCGTCTCAACCATTCGAACAAGGACTGCGTACGTTGGTTTTGCGCAGCTACACGAAAGCCCTCCTGCGATATTTAAGTATTGGGAAAAATCAATTAGCAGATTTCTTTTTAGAATCTCACATTGGGAATGTCCAATTGAATTCAATTGGAAATTACCTATGGGTAGCTTTAACCAATCGAATCCACTAAAAAACAGTAGAATCCTAATTGGACTTTTCCATAATTTAAAGTATTGGGAATAACCAATTAGCAAATTCCTTTCTAGAATCTTGCACTGGGAATGCCCAATTGAATTCAATTGGAAATAACCTATTGGTAGCTTTAACCAATCGAAACCACTAAAAAACAGTAGAATCCTAATCGGACTTTTCCATCATGGAAAATACCAGTAAAAACCAATTTCTGTTTTATATCGCTCCC